TTGTCAAGTGTTTTACTTTCTCCAGTAGTGGATGTGCTTTCTAAAAGTGATATATCAAGGCCCTACTATAATGTAGTATTTCCAAAAGATTATTTATCTAATAATTCAGATTTAAACTATTTGTGTTGTTCTGACACCACAAAGAAAACTTTTATAATTCCATTTCATTTCTGACTTGTTATTTTATTCTCTATGCGTTTATAAGCACTAGAAAGTGAAGTTATTTACATGCAAATAAGATTTTTGTTTTATCTACTAAAGATATGTTTTTAAAATTTACTTTCTGTCACTCTGTAGAGGTAGAACTTGAATTATCAAAGAGTAGAACTATAACTTCAAAAAGAAAAAATGGCCAATTTAGTTTAGCTCCAGAGAGCAGTTCACAAAAGATGGAGCAGAAACTTCTAAGTAAAATTTGTTTTCATCTTTAGAATATCATTGTCATTCTCTCTCTCTCTCTCTCTCTTTCCCTCAATAATACTTTTAAATTCTAACCTGAACAGGTGGTGACAGTACTTTCTTAGCATAGCCTGGACTGTTGAGGAGTGATGTTGTTCTTAAAAATCCTGGTAGAGGACCTCATGGCTAGGGCTGGGGCAGAGAAAATACAAAGATGAGCCTAGAGAGTAGTATCTTGAATTGCCAGAAAGTAAATGCTGAAAATAAGTAAGTAAGTAAGTAAAAATGGAAACAAATTAAAAGGACACTGGAGCCAACCTAAGAGAATTTCCAATGCCAAAACTGGAACAATTTGACCAACAAAATAATTGACAGAAGGAGTTTATTATAAGCCAAAGAATAAAATAAATATCCATGAGTTCATACTGGTACAAATAAGCAAATAAATAAATGAGGGAAATGGGACAAGTGTTCCTTGCAGAAAAAGTCCAGATAATAAATGCAGAAGAGATGGAGAAAAGAGAAAACCCCCATTAGAACACCACAGGAATAATTGCTGTGGGCAGAATTCACAGATGAATGCTGAAATTAACGAGCAAAACTTTTAAGGAGAAACAGAGTATTTGCATAGTCTCAAAATATCTCTCTCAAGAAACTTAGTAATGTCTGTAGTAGTTTTAATAAATGTCCACAACCTTTTGGATACTCTTCCTTCCAGGAAGTGGAGCTTACTTCCCTTATCCTTGAGTGGGGCTCTTTGTTCATAGTGACTTGTAACTAACCTACAGAGTATGGAGAAGAGAACAGTAGTAGTAACTTTCCAGTAGTGAAACGTGGTATATACCATCTTAATGAAATGCTCGGGGATAGCATCACCAGTAGTAAATCATGTTGCTAATATACCCTCCCCCCAGATATTACACAACAAGAAAGGCACTTCACCTCTTGGCATTTGTCCCCCAAATCCACAACCTCGGTCTAATCATAAGAAAACATCAGAAAATTCCAACTTGAGGAGCATTCTACAAATATCTGACTAGTACTCTTCAGAAGTATCAAGGACGGTCTGAGGAACTGTCACAGATCAGAGGAAGCTAAGGAGACATGATGACTAAGTGCAGTGTGGTTTCCTGGATGGGACCCTAGAACAGATAAAGACATTAGTGGAAAAACTGAAGTCTGAATAGTCTGCAGTTCAGTTTATTGGTGTACCAACATGAATTTCTTTGAATTGATAAATGCACCGTGATACATAAAATGTGAACACTAGGGGAAGCTGGGTGATGGGAATACTAGAACTCTCTATACCATCTATACACAGCTTTTCTGTAAATCTAAAATTATTTCAAAGTTAAAAGTTAAAAATAGAATCACTACAACTCACTGATGTACTTCTCAGTCTAAGGATATTTGTTATTTTAAAGTGTCTCCAGAGCAAATTAATTCAGAGAAATGCCCCACCCCTCAAGCCTTTGTGCAGTCTCTCTATAAAAGAAAGATAGCTTTAAAAAAAAAGATTTTATTTATTTATTTATTTATTTATTTATTTATTTAAGAGAGAGCACAAGTGGAGGGAGAAACGGAGAGAGACAGACAAGTAGGTTCCCTGCTGAGTGCAGAGTCCAACACAGGACTCAACTCTCACGATCCTGAGATCATGACCTGAGTCAAAAGCAAGAGTTGGATACTTAACCAACTGAGTCACCCAGGCACCCCAGCATGAGCTCTTTATAGGAAAACAGCTCTCCCGAAATAGGGACAGTAAGTTACAGAGTTTCATCCCACCACTAGAAATAGAAATGTAACTTAGCCTGCTGGGGAGAGGTCAGTTCAACCAACACTGATGGTTTGCCTTTTGTAGGTATATGCCTAGCACTTAAGTTACAAAAAGTAGTCTCTAAGAATAGTGCAGAGCAGAGCACTTGTGATTGTACCTGACTCTACTGTGGGCTCTTTATTGCAGGTATTATTATTGAGCTGCTAATTTAAAAATCTCCAGAGATATTAGGGGTCACCTGGGTGGCTCAGTGGATTTCAGATCAGGGCATGATCTCAGGGTTGTGAGATCAAGCCCTCTGTCAGGATCTGTGCTGTATGCGGAGTCTGCTTAAGATTCTCTCTCTCCCTCTGCCCTTCTTCACCCCCCTTCTCTTTGTCTCTCTCTCTCCCTCTCTTTAAAAAAAAAAAGAAGCAAACAAACAAAAAACAAAAACAAAAATAACCCTCCAGAGATACCAGATCCAGTTTCATTGGATTGTCTCTTCACCTCGTTTTATTGTAGATTAAAATAGTATAAAAAGTATGGTACACAACAAGATGGATACATGAACAAAATATTTTTCAATATAAAATACATTGTATATTGCTCTTTAAAAAAACAGTAACATTCATTAATTCAATATAATAGTACAGGTATGAAATCCTGATTTATAAATATTTTATTCTTATTACTTTCAAACTCTTATTAGTTGATTATAGAAGGCCTAACAGGGTCTTGTTTTAGTAAATAATAATATGTACTTGGCTGAGGGTGGTTACTGTCATAGAATTAGAGTTTGGATACTAAAATTAAAGTCCTCCCCTGTATGGCACTCATTCTCTTGATCTGACCATTAGTGACAACTGTCTTTAGTTTGTACACATATGAGAAGTATTATTTCTGTCAGTTAAATATATCTTACTACCCAACCAGATGAGTACCTTGTAATGTTTCTACCTTGGGAATATAACTGATGTGATCAGAAGAACAACGAATTGTTCTTGAACGTGGATATACATTTAGGTTACTGCAGTGGCAGATGCATGCATTTTTCAGAACGCTGTTTCCCGGTTGTTGTTAATGCATGCCCAAACAGATATGCAGATAGTTAATAATGCTGCTTAGTTGTTGTAGTCAGATTGAGCAGCACATAATTTATAGCAAATCTGAAACCAGGAACACAAGAATGATGAGCTATATGATAAAGACTTGCTAGGATTGCTGGTCAGTGAAAGTACCGACTACACGTTGTTGATACAGGCCTGTCTTGTGTAGTACCTATGATACAATTTTCTTGACACCTGTTTTCAAAGCGTACCTTTCCATGTCATCCTGTTTTCTTTGGTGAATTTACTTATAAAGTGTTTTTTGTTTTTGAAAGCAGTATGCAGTATATTCTTTCCTAATTTTAATTTAATTAAGAATTTTACTGGTTGGCCACTATGTGCCAGATACTCATTTATTATTCATCCAGGGTTCCGGTAAATTAGGAACTCCTTTACCCACTTTAGAAATTATAAAATGGAGGCTCTGAAAGGTTTAGAAACTCACCTTTGTTAGATCCTACATGTGATAAATGTGGTTACCTAGCTGAATGAGTTGCCTAATACTTGACTATAGATAACATATCAAAAGTAAAAGGAGGGGGGAATTGAGATTAGAATGATGAGTATTTGAGAATAATTTTAGCAAGTTTGCTAAGTGGAACATCAGTCTTTAGGCATGTCTGTTCCACAGCCACTGAATGTATTGGTCCTGTTGGATTTGTTGAAAATGCAAATAATCCAATCCAATGTAATACTCATTAAGGGAAAAGGAATACAATTTGATAGTATTTATGAAGACATGTACAGCCTAATCTGTGAATTGAAAGCATCTTTTAAAAATTTGCTTCCCTTCATATTCCTAGGTGGTATTGAATCTGTGGGTAGAAAAATGAGAGCATTTCAAATAATGCTAATGAAGTTTAAATGATTGCAATCTACCATATTGTGAAGAAAAGTTGTTAGCTGTGAAAGATGAGGACAGAATTAAAATATTACCATGACTGGCATTTGATTTGAAAACTGCAAAGATAAGCTTAGGTTCCTATTTATGAAAACTATCCTCACAGCCTGATGAAATATCTTTTAAAAGGTTTTATAGTTACCATGGATACTTGTTAGCTTTGGTAGAGTAAGTTGTAATTCATATTCCATCATCTGAGGTGAAGGAGCCAAAAAAGCCACCCAACTAAAATCTAAGGTAGCTTCATCTGTATGTTCACAGTAGTTTGAAGAGATGGAAAGGGTAACTAACTCAAAGATTTGAGTTTGGGTTAGTTGTTACTTCTTGAAAAGCAAAATATTTAGCATGCACATTACCTGGATCTCATCCTAATGTTTACTCTCTATGTATAACTTTTTCTTTCAACTGGTGAAGGGAACTTCTTAGATTGTGACGTAGGAATCTAGATGGTGAGAGCCTTCTGAATGCTGACGAACCGAAGCAGCTTCCTCAATTTCTGAAAGCCATAGGGACGCAGAAATATTGAAGGCATTGGTCCCTATGGTAACATATTTGCATTTGGCCCAGAAGTGGCTGGTTTCTGCTTAGCCTCTTGTAATTGCTATATATTGACAGCTGTTTTCACGACTATTTTTAAAATGTCGGATTAATGAGCATGTGTACAAGGGAGTGCACACCATATCCTTCGGCTTGATTAGACACTTCGCATGACAAAAAGCTCTGCATGAAGAGTTACTGAGGTGTTTTTGGCATTCCCTAATGTGTCTGTCACACAGTGGAAGCAAAAAGCCTTTCAAATGATTTAAATATTTTCCTCAATTCTCTTTTAAAACAGGTGACAAAAGAGCTAAAACAGTATGACAGCAAAATTATAGAATGCAAATTTGAGAATAACAGCTGGGTCTTCATGAGACAGAGAACAGACAAAAGTTTTCCTAATGCCTACAACACTGCCATGGGTGAGTATGACAACCTACCGATGTTTGTTACATTAAAAGAGAGAGAGAGAGAGCGCACACATGTTAAGGTTTGTAATCAAAATGTGTTGTCTTTGGTGTTCTGCTTGATGGGGCACAGGGTCACTCAGACCCCTGTCCTTGCTGGCTGTGAAAGGGGCTGTGACTGTCAGCTCCGGCTGGCTTGTAGGTTCCCATCTCTAGGCCTATGGGCTTGTGCCCATGCACCCAAAAGAGAAGTGTAAAGGGCAGGATAATGGGCTGTATACAAGTTGAATTTGTTGAACAACAACAACAACAACAAAAGCCATGATAATTTCAGATCTATCCAGAACTATAAAAACCATTGTTTGCCAGATGGTAAAAGACAAAATTAGCAGGGGGAAAATGTAATTTCCAGCTCCTAAAATAGCTTTACAAACAATGGGGAACAAAGTAAATGAAAACCATTAAAAAAACAACAACAAAAAAAAACCTCCTAAAACCTGCTGTGCTGTCTTTCGGAGAGTTCTTTGGGTGCAATATAAATGCTTTGGGAATTCAGAATAGTAAGTTTCTTTCATGGAGAACAACAGAAATTAATTAATTTTATAAGGTAAACCTTATAGTAGCAGTAGCAGTTGTTGCTCTGGATTGCATTTTTAGTGAAGCTGGGGGGGAAAAAAAAAAACCCAAATGGATAAAAACCAAGATTAAAGGTTAATAGAATTGTGTGCCTTTAGACTGCTCAGTCAGTGATGATGCTGCTTATATGATAAGCTTATGAGAAAATACAGAAATTGCCAATTTCAGTTTTGCAGTTTATGAAAGTTACTACTGTACATTTAAAGGTTCTGTTGGAACTAGCATCTGTGTTCAGACAAGATGAGTTAATTTTGAAAATGGGAATAATTTAGCCACTGTCCTCCCCCCACCCCCAAACTAGATATGTAAATACAATTCACAGGACTGGTGGTCAATTTTGATCACGTAAGAAAAGATGCCGTATTTATTCATAATTTTATTAGAATACCTTACTTATCTCAAAGAAGTTATTAAAATAAAATAGTACAATCTGTCTGCTCCAGTGGAACCTCCCTGTTCAGTAGAAACGGTGGCGGGTGCCTTCATGACAGGGTGGAGTTCCTTCTGACAGATGAGACTAGAGGATGGTAGCACACGGTTTCTGTAGACGTTTTGGTTGAGTATAGACTGTAGCGTGATGCGCTGTGGTCCGTTAAAATCCTATGAAAGCAGTTTCGAAGAGGGGGAAAACAATAGTGATGGAGTGGTTGTAATTCACATACTTAAAGTTTTGGTTTAAAATTAATGGTACAGGAAAGAGTATCCACCAGAAGAGCACTCGTTTTGGGGGCAGGGGAGGGCGGAGAGTTGTTTCATGTGTGAAGCCTGTCACCCCAGTCGGTGAAATGAAAGTGTTCAGCCTGTCGGGACGAAAACCTTTCCCCTTTCGCATCTCCCTGTGGTGAGTCAGCTGCCTTAATTAACCCTCACGTGAGACACGTGTCTCCCTTTGTCCACAGCTGTGTGCAACAGCATCTCCAACCCTGTCACCAAGGAGATGCTGTTTGAGTTCATCGACAGATGTGCGGCAGCTTCGCAAGGGCAGAAGCGGAAACATCATCTGGACCCCGACACAGAGCTCATGCCTCCACCACCTCCCAAAAGACCTCGCCCTTTGACCTAAGACCTGCCCCTGACTCAAGGATTGAGAGGAAAAATGAGTGGGAAAAGATGCTGTTGCCCCATTTTTGCAGCCAGAGAAATTGGAAAAAGAGTGTGGCTTGATGTTGATACACATTTTGAATTTTAAAAAAAAGAGTATTGTAGCCAGCCTGTAAATATTTGATGCATTTGTTTCCTCAGTGCTGCAATACCTCGTGGACTTTAAACGTTTTATTTATATCTGATAAACTCAGCCTTACCTTGTGAATCTGAAGATTGAAATATCCAAAGGTTTAATCGAGATTGAAATCAATGAAAAAGAGGCCTTGTTTGTATATGGATAACTTTCACCTTTAATTTATAAAGTTAGGAATCTGGAACTGTGAGCGCAGAAAACACTGTATTTTTTAGAAGTTGTATTTCAACTATGATAAATTTTCCTTTTCAAAAAAATCTAGGCAATGGCATTAAACATTCTTGCTATCATTTATCATGGATTTCCTACATTTCTGAGATTCTTGTATTCAAAATCAAATGACAAGGTTGTTAAGTATTGTACTATATAGAACAACTTGGTCTGGCTTATATCATTTTAAGTTTTTTTTGAAATGTTAAAGTAAAAAAAAGTAAAGCCCTGTTTTTGTGAGTTGCATCCTTTTTAAAGGAAGTATATTGAGTATTTTCATGTTTCTATTCTTGGAACTAAAATATCAGCGATCCAGCGTGTCATTCTGGCAGTGGTTTTGAGTTACTTCCTAGAACTTAGATATCCACCACTGGGTCCCTTTTATGTAGTGTTCTCCTGGGAGACTCCTTTTTTTTTTTTTTCCTTTTAAAAGAGCCAGGGCTACTTCTGCTTTACCTCAGTGGTATCGGCACATTGTAAATTACATTAAAACACACAACTCACTGTGATTATGGGAGTGATATCAAATACAAACGATGTTGTGTTAGTTCCCTTGAACAAAATGGCAAAGGACATGCCAGCTGACTCCTTTGATTAGAAGGTAATGCCCATGGAATAGAATGCTGTCACTAGAAACCGCTCTCCCACTGCTAGATAAATGCAGAGGCAAAGAGTAGACATCTGTAGGAACTAAACATCAAGGAAGTCAAGACATTGATTTTCCAAAGCCAGAATTCTATCTCTGTTCTGTGCTGGGGATGCTATTTCTGTTACACACCTGAATTCTACAACATTTACTGATAGATAATGGATTTAAAGAGCAGCTAATTGGTCATCTGCCATTGTTGAGAAGTTGTGTTCTGATTGGCTTGTGAAGGAACTCTGAGAATTAGCCTACTAGAGGCTAAGGTATTTATTTTTAGAGGTACAGGTTTTAAGTATGTATATTTAAAACAAATTTTCATGATCTGAATTTTATATATGTATATGCATATACATGTGTCAGTATATGCATCCATGGATATTCTTCTACTAATACAATCAGACATGAAAAATGGAAGAGTTACCCAACAGACTGAATATCTGACAGGATTTCTATATGGTATAGCACAGATTAACCAAAAATGTATTTACATTCACCTGCGTTTTGATGTTTTTAAACAAAGTTTTCTCCTACAGTGCTTTTCTATATGAAATACTAGAGTCACGCTTGGGCTTTTTCCTTTGTTCTTTCCAAGTTATGTAACGCTTAGTGAATGTATCCAGAAGGTCATTTTAGTATTTCATTCCTAGAGTGCTTTTGTGAGTTTGGGCACTAAAGGGATTAAAACACCTGACTGCTGCAATGACTGCTGAAAGGTGGAAATTTGTCAAGGTTCCATAGTGTCTTCTACAAAATGGGTCTGAAAAAACACCTATGCAACTCCAGATAGTCTGACACCTGCTTCACCAGGATTAGTGACTTGTTTCACCTGATAGGTCGCTTTCCTCCAAGCCTGTATAAATGCAGAGCCCTTTTGCAGATATAAGAGCTAGTTTTTGCCAGTGATCTTTAATGGAGTTAAATGTTTATGGTAATTGTAACCTTTTAAATTGAGTTATGTGAAAAGAGCATCTCATTTTTAATACACCAGATATTTTCCCCCTTGCCTTTGTGCATTTTCCAGGACTTAATTTTCTTAATTTGTTCTTTCCTTTCAATTACAGTGAAGTATAATCGCCGGCCTGATAAGTAGATCCCCTTTGGCCCCTGAACACACTGTCATCTGCAGTATCATAAAAAGTCATCTAGAAAGTCAAGGGGGAAAACTGAGAGGCAGGGATTGGGACAGCAAGAAGGAAGGAACCCCTTCCCTTGTCAGCCCACTTCACTGTAACTATTTCTGACACTGAAGTTTTGTAGAATAAGAAAACTGCTTTCCTGAGTTATCAAATATAAAAGCTTTTGCTTTGAATTTGGAGAAGATGTGGATGACTCGACTGCCTGGATGGTTACATTTGCTTTCCGTGAAATGCTCAGAAAATGTCAGGACATTCCTTCTCTAACTGTGTGTCCATGTGGATTGTAATAAAACTACTGATTTAAAATAACAGAAAGTGTATCCACTTTGTTTTGTGTCCCTTTATTTGACTAATGATCTCATGTCCTTTCTGTTGCCGCATTGTCCTGTCAGCCATGCCCCATCGTAATCCATCTGGTTTTGTTGTTCTAGAATTAGCATAAAGACTTGGAAAATCCTCTGTTTTCTTCCTGAGAAACCAAGAAGTTGGATTGACCTGGGGGGTGCAGTTTGCACCTTTTCTTTTTGGAGTGTAAAAGAGTGGGGGGAAGCACAAAGCACATCTGTAAATGATATTATATTTCTGTTCATTCACCTCTTCTTAGTGCACTACTATACGAGTAGATATTCTGTGACATTATTTTTAACACATTTAATGCTTTCTGCAGTAAATATTCTGAAATAGTGACGTAATGACCGCTATCAGTTTTTTTGTTGTTGCTGATTCTTCATTTTTTTAAAGTATGGAATTTGCCATTTGTAATTTTCAAATGATACCATTTGGAACTAGGTGCATAGTCCTTTCTAGGCAAAAGACCTTGAAAGTCAAGAACCAAATACTTGCAGGTGGGGAAGACTAATGTGGTAGAAAAAACCCTGGGCTAACCTCAGAAACCAAGTCGAGGCTCTGCCTCTCATTGATTCTGTGTTCTCTCTTAATCTCACCCTCTATCCCCCCACCCCGTCCCCATCTATAAAATGCTGAGATCGAGCCAGATGATCAAAAAGAGCCTTTTCAGGTCTAACATGATTCTTGTGAAGGCTCATGCTTTGTAAATAGCCCATGTTTACAATGAAGGCAATATTGCCATTACTGAAGATTTACTAAGCATTACGACTGTCCTAAACACAACAGCCCCATGCAAGTAGGTACTGTTACTACCCTCCTTTTGTAGTTGAGGAATCTGAGACTCAGGTAATTAACCCAAGGTGGTGTAGCTGGTAAGTTGTGAGCTGAGGCCCAAATATAGGTCTTTCTGACTCCCAACGCCTAATTGATTGTTCAATACTCCTTAAGGCTTTGTTGCAGCCCCAGCGTGGGGGCTGCTTCTGTGCCAGGGGCCCCAAACTATTTGTTTGGGGCTAACAGGGTTTCAAACACCTCTCTCTAAAGCAGGGAGATGAAGTTGGGATCAGCAAAGTGGATGTATTTTTAGGGACTTACTTAACCACTTATTTAACAGTATTTAAATGTGAGTGACACAGAGGCCATGAAAAGAAGTTTAATATTCTCATTAAGATGCTAAATTTCAGAGACATAATTAGGAAGAAATAAGTGATTAAATTACACACCGGGCCAACATTTTTCTGATTGTCGCATTGTTAACTGTCAACTCTGATGCTTTGGCAGGTTGGTGTCAGCCTTGGTTAACCCAGAAGCATCCTTCCTCCTACCAGACTCTGCCATCAGGGGACCAACCACTGTGCAGGGTAAACGGGTGGTGGTGGAGCGCCCTCAGACCAGGGGCCTGCCAGGCTTCTAAGAAGACTTCACATTTCCACAGATGAGCGCATGCATCCAGGGTTGCCAACTGTTTGGCCATGGAGTGGCTTTACGAAATATCAGGTTGCCATTATTTCATAAAATAGAATTTTTTTAAGGTTTTGGTCTTTTTTTTTTTTTTTTTTAATTTGATAGCACAAGCAGGGAGAGCAGCAGAGGAAGAGGCAGAGGGAGAGGGAGAAGCAGGCTCCCCACTGAGCAGGGAGCCCAATGTGAGACTCCATCCCACGACCCTGGGATCATGACCAAAGCCAAAGGCAGACGCTTAACTAACTGAGCCTCCCAGGCACCCCAAAATAAAGAGAATCTTAACAACCAAAAAAGGGGTAGGACATAATTTAGAAGAAAAGGTGTGTCTTTACATAGAACAAATTTTGTTTTATGATTCTCTATGTGGTCCTTTGCTTCTACATTTCACCCCAAACTGGTGAAAACTTTTTCATGGCCCAGGCAAAAACTTTTTCATTGCACAGGTAAAATTCAGGCAGCTCGTAAGCCAGCAGAGGGGCAAGAAACTACCCCCCCCCCCCGGTTCTGTAGCCCAAGGTCATTTGCATAGCGAGAATTTATCATAGTATACCTTGCAATTGTTGATTCTAACATGCTTTTGAGATATAAGATGTACGGGTGAAAAATGAATTGTCTGAATGTTGAAACCTACCTGGAGAGAATGAACCCCTCAGCTGTTTAAGGTACAAAAATAAGCATAGGCAGATAAAACACAGAAAAACAGAATGTGACAACAAATCAGACCCACAGAGTCACCAATGTACACAACTTTGAAGTTGATGCATAGTCTGTTTTTCCTTTAGAATGCTGCCACCAGAATGACCCCTCAAGTCTGCAGACCTGTTCCTGCTGTTGCTCACCAGGAAGAGCTCTCTGGTCCGAGATGTCAGAGGCCTTCCATGATCTGGCTGCAGCCTGTATTCAGATTTGGGTCATGTCTGTGTGCCTCCTTGTCATTCCCAGAACTCCATGCTCTCTAAACCCAGGAATCTTTCCTCATGGTGCTGCTCCTGCTTTTGCCAGAGACCCCAAACTCCCTTCATCTCAGGATCGAGGGGGTCATCCTGTCGTAGGTAGCCTCTACAATCTCACACTGTATCGTGATAGTCTCCGCCAGTCTTCTCTCCAGACAAGGGTTTTGGCGCATAACACAGGGCATATAAAAGCAGCGGGCCCTCAGTCGTGTTTAGGGCAAGAGGTGCAAATGCCCTGCTGTACTTGCTGTCGAGACTCAAGATCTATTTGCTGTTGTCTCCCTCAGTTTAGCTTATACAAGCGTGATTTTTTTTGTCACTCTGGCCTTCTCATCATAATAGCAGCTCTGAAAACATCTCATTTCTTCAGAGGCCATCTACGATGTGTCTTGTATTTAATCCTGACTAGAAGTGTCTTGTCTCTTCTTGCCTTTTGCACTGGAAGTGAGTGCTTCTGAGGAAGCTTCTCAGCAGGAGGAATCTTAAGAAACCGCCCTGGCCTCCTGGCCGTGAGACACTGAGGGGAGGTGTGAGGAAAGTCGTGTTCTCGATCACATCTTATTTTTTGGTGCAGTTTCACTGAGCCTGCCCCGTCTTCAGCTAGGAGGCTCCTTCTCCCTCCCCACCTACTCCTGCCCAGCTTCTGATGTTTTCAAAGAGAAATCTTCCAGTAACTGCTGAGGCTTTTCAGTTAGTTTTAAAAATAAATACCACTCCGTGATCCCTGAGCATAAATTGGTGCTTCTAGCCACATCTTTTAGAGTGGGAAAAGCAAGAGAAAGATATTATTCTTGTTGCTACTATCGAATGCTATCTTCCAGGATCTAAAGGAATAAGAAACTTTATAGTTTCTGTAGAAGTTCTGCTTCCCTTCTGAAAGCTGTCAGGGGAACATTGTGTAGTTTTGATCTCCAGTCTAAGCACACTGTGTGCTCTGATACACATCGACGACGAGGGCTGCTAGAGAGAGACTAGCTGAGCCACATGACAACCGAAACTCTCCTATAAAAAATTTCTTGAAAATTCTGCATGTGGGTAGAGTCTGTATGCCTGGACACATCACATACAATTGGGATGACACAGGAGGTGTGACGTGTTCCAGACCTTCGTGGACGGGCAGGGTGAATGGGCAGGGAGGTGCAGACAAAGAACGTGGGGAGGGCTGCTTTGGAGCAAATTGTCTAAGGCTTGTATGAAAGACAGGGGAAGGATATCCGGCTGTAATCACTCTGACTTAAGCTAACCAACCAACCAACTGCCCTGGGCGCCCTTGATCTCCTTCCAGCTACCCTTTTCTCTGGTCCTTTTTCCTGCAAGATTCCTAGGAGGTGATTGCACTTGCTCACTCCCTCTGCTTTCCTTGTATTTTCTCTTTTTTCTTTCTTTTTTAAGAGAGAGAGAGAAAGCATGCAAGTTGGGGGCAAGGGAGGGCAGAGGAAAAGAGAGTCTGAAGCAGCTTGCATACTCAGCACAGAGCCCAACTCGGGGCTCGATCTCACAACCCTGAGGTCACGACAAGAGCTGAAATCAAGAGTTGGACCCTCAACCAACTGAGACACCCAGGCGCCCCTCCTTTGTATCCTCTGTCGACAAGCTCTGCCTTTACTGAGAATGCTCCTGTCACCACCAGCAGTGCCCTCTACAGGGTCAAATCCACTCTCCTAAGTGACCTCTCAGCACTATCAGCTTCTCACTCCCTGGTTGTTGTTTTATTTTTGTTTTTTTTCCCATCTTTCTTTTCCTTATTTATTTATTTATTTATTTTACTATTTTTAAAGGGAAATGTCAACCATATACAAAAGTAAGGAAAACGTACAGTGATGTCCCATCTACCCATATTTAGCAGTGATCAGTTTGTGGTAGTTCCTGTTTGTTGAAGGAAGTCCCCCAACTCCCTTCACACACACACACAATTACTTGAAAGCAAATCACAAACTTCCTCTTCTTGTTGAACCCTTGCTGCCCTTGGCTTCCAAGCCACTATAGTGTCTTGGTTGTCTTTCCTCCTACCTACAGGGTCTCCCTTGCTGAGCCCTTTTTACCTTCTCTGTCTCCTAGTGTTGTAGTAACCCAGGTTCGGTTGACTGGCCTCTGTGTATGTGTAGCCAGAGTGTAGACTTTCTCTAGGAGATCTCTCCTTGTCCATAAATGCTAATGCCACCTATACACAAACAATTTCTAAATTTATTTTTAGCCTGGATCTTGCTTGTGAATTCCAGAGTCAAATATCCAACTGACAGCTTGACATCTTCACTTAGATGTTTAATAGTCACCTCAAACTTAATACACCCCAAACTGAACTTTCCTTCCCCCATAGACTTGCTTCTCTTCCCACAGTCTTCTTGTAGAGCTTAGTTAATGGCAATTGCACTTTTCCAGTTGCTTCAGAATCATCCTTGATTCTTTTCTTCTCTGACACTCCACGTCCAATCCATCAGCAAATGCTGTCAGCACCACCTTCAAACTGTAACCAGAATTTGACAACTTCTCAACCTCTACAACGTCTCTCATCCCATCTCTTGCCTACGTTATTGCCATAGCCTCCT